ACCTGATGAGATTCTTGCTGAAAAAGGACTTAAACAAGTTGGAGCAGCAACGAGTTGGGAAAGAGGAAAAAATATAACAATATGCTGTTGTGTCAGCGCTACAGGTCAATACATTCCTCCCATGATAATATACCCACGTCAGCGTATGCAAACCAGTCTAGAAAGAGGAGGTCCAAATGGAAGCATTTATAAATGCTCAAAGACTGGGTGGATCAATGAGGAGCTGTTTCTCGATTGGATAAAACATTTTAAGGAACACAGAGGATCAACTCCTGAGAATCCGGTGTTATTGATCCTTGATAATCACTGCAGTCATATTTCCCTCAACATCTACAACTATTGTCGTGAGTATGGCATCCATATGATAACTTTGCCACCACATACTTCTCATCGAACACAGCCCTTGGATTTAACTATGTTTGGACCACTAAAAAATGCGTTGCACAAGGAGTGACAGACGTACATGAATATGAATAATTACGAGAAGTTAACGCCTCTAGAACTCATTCCTCTTTTTACAAAAGCTTACCTCAAAATTGCCAATGCGGAAAAGGCTGTTAATGGCTTTAAAACTGCAGGTATCTGGGGCCTTTCGATTCAAATATTTTTGAACAACTAACTGAGGAAGGAAGTGATGAGCCGTCACATGAATTTATTTCTCTAGAAGAAGCAGTAAATGTAGAGTCAGAGACAAAAGGTGTATTAGTGAATGATTCAGATTACTTACAACCTAGTACATCAGGCACGAATAATCCAGTTCAGTTTGATGAAGATATCGAACAAGAGATTATTATATCTTCTGAGCCCACCGAAAAAGAGATTATGTGTGATAGGAGGCAGATCCTGAAATCTCCTGAGTCCTCCGCCCAAGTATCTTTCAGCACTATTTCTCCATTGCCGGATAGTAAGAAAAAGCAAGAAAAAAGAAAAGGACAAAGTAAGAGAAGTAAACAGCACTCAATAATTCTCACTTCCAGTCCAATGAAGACGTTGTTGGAAGATAAGGAAAAGAAACGAACGATAAAAAAAGAAAAAGAAGACAGAGCAAAGAAACAAAAGGTATGCAAAAAAATTAAAATGAACTCTAAAAAACCAATTCAAAAGAGAATTAAAAAAGAGACCAAGAATTATTTAACTTCATCTTCTGAAGATGAAATTGATGAAAACTTATTATGTGACGATGACGATGATTGTGATGGACAATTTTATGATGAAGGACAGTCAGGAGTTAATGAATTGTGCGTAATATGTGGTGAATTTGGTAAAAATAAAGAATTATGGTACAGATGTGTGTCACGCGAAAAGAGGGCACATGCTTTGTGTAGTGGCGCGAATTATGCGGACAATTTTATCTGTGTATTTTGTGAATAAATATACCAACATCTATAATTAATTAAAAATGTTAGTTTTATTTGTAAAAAAAAAACCTTTAATCATGCTATTTGGAGCCTTAAAATTATGTACGAAATTAGACGCAAGTGTCGAGTAATTTCGTACATATAACTTTATAAAATAACTTGTTTTTGAAGCTTTCATAGTAGTTGCATTCAAATGTGCTGTATTCATATAAAACTAGACTAAATTTAGGACGACTTGATACATAATACTTTGTCTTGTATTAAATAGATTCAAAGAAAGGGATGGTTAAATTTAGGTGTACGATATTATCCTCCGCTCCCCTATGTGGATGTCACCGATCAAATGGCTTCATATTGCAGTCCTCTGCGAAAAACAGTAAAATGGTACAAAAAAATTGTATGTGAACTTTGCCTAAACACAGCTCTTGTAAATGCATGAATTATACAGGTTGTTCGGCCATTCCTGGGAAAAATTTTAACTCCTTACACTATTTTCACGAGTCTGACTCGTGATGAAAATTTTAGGCCAAACTTGAATATCACGAGTCAGGCTCGTTGTTCAATTTCACGTCCAACGTGAATACCACGAGTCGAACTCGTAAATACCGATATTCCGTCGATCGACATATCGTGTTTCAAATTCCGATATTAGGGATCGCTCCGATCATTCGGTCGTATGGGTTAGGCACGGCTTCTTCCGAATTTCAGAGTAGTGCAAGGGATTAATGGCAGATTCTAGAGGCCAAAATAAGACGAAAATCAAGAATACTAATTTGTTGATGGAGGCTTCGTTAAAAAGTTATTAACGTTTAAAGTTCCGCCCGTACTGAATTTTTTTCTAGAAAGTGGGTAGGATTTCGGGGGTAGGTCAATTCACCAAAATTATTGTAATTGACCCCCGCAACCGAAAATAATTTTTTCAGAACGATTTGAAATTTTTTAATTTTGTCGACAAATTTCACATCTTCTCGAATTTTTTTCTCGAAAGTGAGTAGGATTTCGGGGTATGATTTGAAATTTTTTTTCGCCGAGAATTGAGGCACCCCTACTTCCTGCCGATTTTTCTTAAAAATTCGTATTTTATTTTTAGTAATTTTGTTTGACGCCCTACAGAAAAGTTGGCTAATACTTTTTTTTGTAGGTACCCATGAACTCTACTTTAGAAACAAGTTTCATTCAAATATATTCACTATTGTAGGAGTTATGGTCGTTTGAAAATTTGACCATTCTTACGAGGTTGTTCTCATTTTGCGGGGTCAAGGATCCACTTTTCGAATATTTTTGCGATTTCTACATATTCTTCATCTAAATACGCGTTGTTTGCCTTTTGAAACATTGAAATGGCCCAATCCGTTCAGAAGTTATGACGTTTTAAAGATACGCAAAGAATTATGGAATTACATTTCTGGCCTGAAATTATATTTGCGGTAAGGAATTTTTTTCACGAAAGTAGGTACGATTTCGGGTGTATGTCTATTCACAAAAAATGATTATAAATGGACCCTAGCTACCAAAAAGAATTTTTTTAGAACGATTTGTAATTTTTTAATTTTGTCGAATTCTTTTCTCGAAAGTGGGTACGATTTCGGGGATATGTCCAATGACCAAAAATGATTGTATTTGAGCCCCGCAAGCAAAAATAATTTTTTCAGAATGATTTAAAAATTTTTTAATGACTTTGTAATGAAGCCTCAGTCGAGAAATTGATATTCTTGATTTTCGTGTTATTTTGGCCTCTAGAATCTCCCGTTAAAATTTTTCCCAGGGGTTGCCGGACACCCTGTATATAACAGTCTTACAAAGCAAAAAATAACAAGCCTCGATTTTCGAAAAAAATTAGCCATGAATCTGATATCTTGTAATAATAAATATAATTCTCTACCTACTGGACCTATTGGAAGAAAAGGAGGGCAACTTTAATTCGATAAGAAGGCGCTGTAAAATTTGTTATGAAAAGAACGTTAAAAATTTAAATTCTCAATCGGCAAGAAATTGTTCTGTAATAGTTGTGTGGATAAACCACATTTATGGTTGCCATGTTTTAACAAATTTCCCCGTAACATCCCTTTGTGATTGTATACAAACTTGTCACATAAATATAATATTAAACATATTTCAATTAAAATGTTTTATTTTAAACTAATATAAACATAATACAACAATATTATGTGTGAGGATGCGACTCGCGTGGTAGAGTAATGTTCAGCCGGGTATTTGTTAAACTAATTCCTAGAAAAATAAATTTATTGCTTTGTTGTGTTATGCATCTTGAACTATACATTGTTTTATTGATAATTATGATTTTTGCACTATTTTAATCATTGTAAGACATACGCCAGAAACAAAACAATACAATCGTAACGCGTGGGGCGTATGCGCCCCACGCAGCCTGAACGGAAAGTCTTCAAAAAACGGTCCGGCACGGAACGTGTTAAAGAATTAAAAATGTCATAAGTTACGTCCCGACGAATGGGTCATTAGCCGTGAACATTTGACACTTCCTTAGAGTCGACATTGTCGCCGAATTCCTCTCTTTTTCTCAGAAACCTGGACACGGAAGTACGTAAAGTAAGTCAGTACCTGAACATATGTTAAAAACCCAAAAATTAGGCTAAGGCGGTGCAGACAGTTGTAAAATTGCGAGAGCTACCCTTCAAACATCTTGTTATTAAAATTAATTATTATTATTATTAATCTATATCGGCATTGCCAACTCCGATTCCCGCCTTCACCTTCCGGGCCAGCGGGCCAAGAATCAGCGAGCGAGCGAAAACCGACCTGGGGCAGGGCCAGTTATACCACAGCTTCCACGCATCCATTTGGTTGTCCAGGCGGCAGGGGGAGGTGACCCCCTACATAGCGCGTCCCCAGGTGGCGGATAGGAGCAGCCACTGGGATGGGGTGCGGGGGTGAGGTCATCAACCTGAGAAGGCTGGTAGCCACATCCTCGCATGGCATCCCGGAGGTCGGAGTGAAAGCTCCCGCGGACCAAACACCGCACAGTGGGCCAGATCGAAGAATTAGCTGTTCATTTGGCAAAAACTCAGATTCCTCATATCGATGTTTAACAAATGTATATTACTTTCTAAATGTCTGTCACATTCGAAAACAATGAATTTAATGAAATTTATTAAAAATTGTGGTTAAAACAAGCATTTAAAGATCAAACTTTTATAGATATCATTTTTCACCGTAAAAATTACTTTTTTTCATATTGATGCCCCGGAAAACCTATTAAACATTATGTACCCATTTATTGTTTTTATGAATAGCATATGTCTATATTGTGAACGCACCTGAAATTAAAAATTATTGTTCATAATTTATTTAAAAAAATAATACTCTGTGAACTAAAGAGAATCGTCAAAGTTTTTCATCTTTAACAAGGGGTATCTTTAAAGTTTTAAAGAGTTGTGCGTTCTACCAAAGTGGAATATTTTCTAGCGTTATTTCTCTATAAAATCATGCAAGATTCACTTCCCCCGTCATCCCACCCGATAAATTATTACAGTTTAAAGCGTCGCGTGACACGCACTTCAGCGACGAGTCGCGTCGCACGAGACGCGTTGCCGACCACCCAGCGGATCTTAAAGCTGCGTCCCCACTGGGTCGGCACGGCTCGGCATTTGCCGATCGGCACTGCCGATCGGCACAGCGTTCGGCAAAAGGCGGCACAAGGCGGCACGGCCGTGCCACTGCTATGCACCGCGGAAAAGCCATTTCAGTACACAAAAAATGTACAGTGACGACGAAATAATAACTGGTGCTGCTGCAGTTATAGTAATAGCAAATGCAAAAAAAATGCCTAAAAAACGAAGATTTTGGATGCGTCCGAGTTTACGTAGCAGAAGAATATATAGTGCCAGTGATATGATGAAAGATTTAATTTTGGACGACGTAAACGCAATCAATCTGGAATACAGGTGTAACGGTGGCTTTAAAAATTTTTTCCGCATGTCCTCTACTGAATTTGAACAATTGCTAAATTTAATCGGGTCAAAAATTGCTGCGAAGGACACAAATTTTAGGGAAGCAATCCCTGCAAAAGTGCGTCTTGGTGTGACATTACGATTTTTGGCAACAGGGGATTCATATCACTCCCTTATGTACTTATTTAAAATTTCAAAACAAACAATTTCAAAAATCATTCCAAAAGTATGTGAAGCTCTCATTGATGTACTTCAAGATTATATAAAAGTAAGTATTGCTGGATCACGTTAGTTATAATATTAAATAATTAATCCTATTTTTTATATTAGATTTATTACTATTATTTACAATACAATACATAATTTATTTTACTAGATTCTATCCTATATTTATGAAGTGTCAAAATTATGTTCTATATTTTGTGCAGGTGTATGAGTGGAGGTGTATGCGGGTGTATGAATGGAGGTGTATGTGGGTGTATGAGTGGAGGGGTATGTGGGTGTATGAATGGAGGTGTATGTGGGTGTATGAGTGGAGGTGTATGTGGGTGTATGAATGGAGGTGTATGGGGGTGTATGAGTGGAGGGGTATGTGGGTGTATGAATGGAGGGGTATGTGGGTGTATGAGTGGAGGTGTATGTGGGTGTATGAGTGGAGGTGTATGTGGGTGTATGAGTGGAGGTGTATGTGGGTGTATGAATGGAGGTGTATGGGGGTGTATGAGTGGAGGTGTATGGGGGTGTATGAGTGGAGGTGTACAATGTAGGAGTAAGTGATGGAGACGGCACTTGTATGTTTATTGTGGATTGAGGGCTATTTGATGATTGTGTTGTAAAAGGAAATGAACTACTAGAAATAGGGGATGTGTAATTATGTGTGTATGGGTTAGGGTTAGGGTTATTGAAGGATGGAAAATTATTATATTTTCCCATTTCCGCTTCAAATAATGTGGTATTAATTAAATGCTGCACTATTGCCCTGGATTGTGGAGTCTGCAGTTTCCTAATTTTTATGGCAACTTGTTCGCCATAAAGGTCGTATTCGTCTTTTGTCTTCTTGTTAGAATACATATGTTTTAATATTTTATACGCTTCTTTGGCATCACCATCATTTTTCCTCTTCCTCGATGGTATATTTTTCGGCGACACAAATTTTTCACTCTCTGCATTAATGAAATCCGAAGAGTCTTCCTCAACTTCAATTTCATTATCATCGGAGTCTTCCTCCGAACATTCCAATGCGCTGTTAACCTGCAAATAAGTTAATGTTTGGCAATTAATTTTTTTAGATGCCTCAGAATGAGCAAGAGTGGAATCTTGTAGCAAAAGATTTCAACACCAAATGGAATTTCCCTAATTGTGTAGGAGCAATGGACGGAAAACATATATCCATACAGGCACCACTAAATAGCGGCACAGAATTTTTTAACTACAAAGGATTCTTTAGTATAGTGCTTTTCGCAGTGGTTGACGCCAATTACAATTTTATTTATTGTGATGTGGGATGTCAGGGACGAATTTCTGACGGCGGAGTATTAAAAAATACATCATTTAATTCATTACTGACCGATTTAAAAATGAAACTGCCTGCCGACTGTGTTCTCCCAGGAAGAACACGAAAAACACCGTTTGTATTCGTAGGAGATGATGCTTTTCCGCTGAACCAAAGTATAATGAAACCATATCCAGGAGTTCAAGCAAAATATTCAAAAACCCGGATTTTTAATTATCGTTTGAGTAGGGCACGGAGAATTTCGGAAAACGTTTTCGGCATACTGTCATCCGTATTCAGAGTTTTTCGAAAGCCGATGATGTTGCAACCAAATACAGCAACTAAAGTTACATTAGCATCAGTTTATTTACATAATTTTCTTAGAAAAAGTGGATCAAAAAATATTTATAATCCTCCAGGAACATTTGACAGCGAATGTTCCGAGACTGGAAATGTCATTGCCGCTGCTTGGAGGGCAGAATTACAAGGATCAACATTGACAAATTTCACACAAATAGGACGCAAAAGTTCAGCGGAAGCGCAGGAAGTGAGAGAGGAGTTTAAAGAATACTTCTCATCGGCAGAAGGAGCTGTACCGTGGCAGTATGAAAAGTCATAATTTCTCGATATTTGTGCCATAACAATAAAATGATAATGGAATGTCAATATAAAGAATGTATTTTTATTACGTACCTTATTCTCCGTATCAACTGTCATTCTTGCTTTATTCTTGTCTTTTAAAAATGACAAGCTTTTATAGGCATACCATTTACTTTTAAAAATGTCATCTGCGCCAGTGCCTGACTTCATGCTCTCTTTCTCTTTCTTCACTTCCCTCGCAAAATGACTAAGTAAATTTTTCATTTTTTTTTCTATTTTTTCTTTTGTCATGCCAAAAGACACTGCAATTTCTACTATCGCATCATGCCGCTTGTTTCTATCCTTGTAACTGTTGTTTTGACAGTCCCATAAGTTAGGGCGTTCACGGTACATTTCTATCAGTTGCAGGACATTTTCATTTGTCCAGTCGTTTTCCATTTTCAGAAATGTACTATACAAATATAAAATTAATACAAATATAAATTTACTATACAATTCAATATACAAATTTACTTACTGAAGCACGTTTAAATAATGCACAATGATTGAAGCACACTGTCACTTTTCTAAACGATTAAAGCACACTGCCACTTTTCTAAACGATTTGTCACAAGCTGATTCTTTATACGATGCGTTCGATTTAACGTTTTGACAAACTGTGTTCGATGTTTCCGGGGCCCGTTTCTTCCTCAGCTCGGACACCCACCGATACGCGATTTTGGGGGTGTCAACCTATTTTGGTATTAACTTTTAGCTCGACCGATTGGTCATCGACTAAGGGAAGGAGGACCCATTTTCACACCCCGTTTGGGAGGAAAACTCTTTCCTCATACCTGAACGTGGTGGAGGAAGACTTCCAGGTCACTCCCAGAACGAGGGTGCCCGAGGTTTTCTCCCCAAGTCGAAGGCTACGTTAATTTATCGAAGAAAAAACGGTACTCCGGATTAGGACGCGACGAGTGGCCGCGCGCGTTTAACAGCTGTTTTATGGCTATATTGTTCCGCGAGTTGGCAATGGTCGTTGCCGAGCGGCCGACGCACAGTGTGACGAGCAATGAACAAAAATGAAAAAACTGAAGTCTAAAATTCATAGCTTATTATATCTTAAAATACTAATAAAGGAACGTAGATTTTAATACTACCGACAATTTGGAATGAATTTCCCAATTTGTTGTCAATAATAATGCTTGAAATTTATTCCAGTTTTTGGTGCATTTTTTTAAACACGTACCACTTGCCAAATGTTTATCTAATTAATTTGAATTTTGTAAATTACGGTCAGTATTATAAGTCCTTTCAAACTGCAGAATGACTTTTTTACAATATTAACAATTTGTCCCAATTTTTTTATGTTAAATGTTTATCAACATTGACTGGATTTTTAAGAAAAGTACCTCAAAGTACCTCTGTGATTTTTTGCACACTAAGTAATTGATGGCATATTACACGTCATATGCAAATCAATTTTAACTGCTCGAAGTTGCTCAAACCGAAGAAAATAATCAAAATCAGCGATATTAAACAATATACAGGGTGGGGCACGAACTAGTCCCCACGATTTTTCAGCCCCTTTCGATGATGTGACAAAAAAATGTTTCGTATCGAAGTTAATCAGTGTCTAACCAACAAGAAATTGCAGTTGCTTAAATTTAAAAACATATTGATTTTCGATAAAAAATTAAGGTTACTGTTATATTTTTAACCCCGCTTTTGTATGTTGCCAGATGCGGAGTCGTTACTTTGTCGAAAAAGTCTTCGAATATTCTGCATCTGGCAAATATTGTCGTAAAACCATCGAGTGCATTAACGAAATGGAAGTGCTAGGCCCGAGTTGACCAACGAAAAGCTATATTGTTCCGTAGGTGGCACGGTCCTCTACAACGACCATCGCCAACTCGTGGAACAATATAGCCATAAAACAGCTGTCAAACACGCGCGGCCACTCGTCGCGTCCTAATCCGGAGTCCCGTTTTTTCTTCGATAAATTAACGTAACCTTCGACTTGGGGAGAAAACCTCGGGCACCCTCGTTCTGGGGGTGACCTGGAAGTCTTCCTCCACCACGTTCAGGTATGAGGAAAGAGTTTTCATCCCAAACGGGGTGTGAAAATGGGTCCTCCTGCCCTTAGTCGATGACCAATCGGTCGAGCTAAAAGTTAATACCAAATTCGGTTGACACCCCCAAAATCGCGTATCGGAGGAAGAAACGGGCTCCGGAAACATCGACCAATCCGTAAAACCGTTGAATTAAATCGTAGAAAAGCTAATTCGTACAACCGTTAAAGCAAACGTATCGTAGAAAAGACCGTATCGTAGAATTTTTTAATAACTTTTTAACGAAGCCTCAGTCAAGAAATTGATATTCTTGATTTTTGTTTTCCGACGAGTACCACTATTGTCGAAACCACATAGAATAATTGCTATACAAACTGTATGTATTTATAATTTATAAATCGCTCCACCTTTGCCACGATGTCATAGGTGGGCAATAAAAACAATTAATCTTTTCATTGCCGTTAAGAAACTTGTTACTGTTATTGTTACTTATTACTTGTTAAGATCACCTTAATTTTTTTTGTAAAATTGTATTTTTTTGGTCATAAATCGATGCATCTTTGTATCCTCTTAAAAAAAGTATAGAGGCCTTAAGTCGAAAATTGAATAGTTTAGGAGTTATTAATTTTGTCCCGAACTCCCATATACTTGTCACACTGTGCGACGTTTGGCCTTGAAGACCGTACCACCCGCGGAACAATATAGCCCTTCGCTGGTCAACTCGGGCCTAGCGCTTTCGTTTCGACAAAGCACTAAATTATTTTACAACAAAATTTGCCAGATGCGGAATATTCGAGGACTTTCGCGACGAAGTAACGGTTCCACATCTGGCAACATAAAAAAGCGTAAAAACCTGAGCTAATCAAACGGAACACTGACTTCGTCGACTAGTGCAGGGGATGAACAGTTAGTGGGGGTTGCGGAAAATTCCGTCGTTGAATGGAACGAAAGGCTATCGACTATGCAAAAATATGGGCACGAGGAAAAAATCTTTCGCCTATGACCATATTTGGTTACAAGACGGGGCTTTATGGCCCTGCCTGGGCCTTTCAGAACTGGAGGTAGCAATCGTCGCGCTGTGAAATTTTCCGTTCGATCGCGAAAGAATACCAATTTGTTGATGGAGGCTTTGTTAAAAAGTTATTAATGTTTAAAGTTCCTGTATCTTTGTATCTCGATGATGGTTTTGGAACGAAATTGACATGAAACTTTCGTGCTCTCGTGTCTTGGCACGATCTCTTTTGATGGTTACCGACATCGTGCCGATCGACTCGTCGGCATGCCGTTCGGCTTTTCAAGCCATGCTATCCAAGACGATGCAGTGTTTGGCTTTGCCGAGAAGTACTTAGGGTGCCGATCGGCCGTGCTAGATGACAGATGCGGACGCAGTGTAGACGCAATTCTCGGCTTTTGCCGATCGGCCGTGCCGAACGGCAAATGCCGACCCAGTGGGGACGCGGCTTAAGAGTGCAGAGGCTCATGTTACGCGTTGTTTACATTGTACAACCATTGATAAGCATTCGAACTTTTTGCTAGCTCTCAGTTGAATCACTTGCATTCGAGAGAGCATAGCATCAGCATCGTGAAAGAATCGTAGCACTTTTTCCAGATTGAGAACTTGTATTTTATTTTTGTTTCGTATATATTTAGTTTGTGTTATTTCGTATATACATATATACAGTTAGGAACAAAAGTATTGGCACACCTGACTCTTTATTATAGAAACGCATATAAATCAAAGAAAAAACACAGGATTAGATTAACTCTTTTTATCAATTATAACTATTAAGTTTATAGTTTGAGAATATTACAAATATATTTATACTAATTAATTGCAAAACAAAAAAGAATGATAAAATGCACATTAATGGCAGTTTTCAATGAAACAAAAGTATTGGCACATTGAAATAAAATGCTTTTGTCTAGGATCTAGAATGAAATTTTTATAAGGTTGGTACATTGTTCCTTCTCGGGAAACCCCCTGATTTCGATAGCATTTATTTGTTTTCTCGTTATTCAATTATTTACAAAATCTAACGTGAAAACGTGCAAAATGGAGCGCAAAGGCAAAGAAACGACTGTTGCTGAGCGAAAAATTATTTTACATTTGTTTAATGAGGGGCATTCATACTCGTTGTTCCATAGCACACGGAATCTTGCTTATATATTTTAATTATGTAGTTTGTTTTGGTTTTTATATGTTTGCTATTTTCTATATTACTCATCGGTGAGGTCCGTTAGAAACGGTGCCGGGGGCAACCGATTCGGGCCGGGTGCAAAATCGATCGATTGCACGTGTCGCGGAGTATTCTCGGCCCTCGAAGGACCGAGAATGTTCCACGGCACGCGCCTCGAACTTTTGCACCCGGCGCGAAGAAAATCCAAAAGACGATCGGGACCAGGGGTATATAGCCAGGGTCCCGATCGCCGGGCGGGGCTTGATTTTTGACCAGTATACCACGAACTCGGTATCGTAACACAACACGCGAAATAATTTTCACGAACACAGTTTAAGTGTATTATACAAAAATATATAGTTTTTCCTGCACACGTTGTCAAGCTCATTCAAACCCAATTAATCCCAACTTAACAGGACGTAGGGATCTTAAACGTGCATTCTACCGGGTGTCGAAAATATTCGTAACGAGGACTTACGACCCTCGTCGACGCGTCACACAGCAAGCGCGTCTCATCCGCGGAGTGTACGTACACTCGTCTATAGGAAATATAGTTAATAGAAGTCGTTTTACAATTAGAAGTATTATTAAACGGTTTTCTAACACAGAAAATTTTGTAAGTGCTCCGCGATGTGGTCGACCTGAAAAATTGAGTGCACGAGAAAAGAGAAAAATTATTAATATTGTAAAAGGAAAACCATCTAGTTCTGCGTCAGAAATAGCGGCAAATATAAACGAAAGTTTTAATAAAGAAGTACATAAAATCACTATTCGACGAATATTAAACAAGGTAGGATACCGATCGCGAGTTGCTAGACGAAAGCCTACTATAAATAAAATTAATCAAGAAAAAAGATTAAAGTTTGCAAATGATTACATTAATAAAGAAAACGAGTTTTGGGATACAGTGCTCTTTTCTGATGAGTCTAAATTTAATATTTTTCAAAATGATGGACGCACTTTAGTTTGGAGACAATCTAATACCGAACTAGACCCAAAGAACATTCAGAACACTGTTAAACACGGGGGTGGTGGAGTGATGGTCTGGGGTTGCATGAGCTCAAGTGGAGTCGGTGAGCTTGTTTTTATTGATAATATAATGGACAAATATGTCTATTTAGATATCTTAAAAAATAATCTAAAAAAAAGCGTGGAAAAATTAAATCTTGGGAGACAATATGTCTTTCAACAGGACAATGACCCCAAGCATACCGCTTATTTGGTACGGCAATGGATAGTTTTTAATACCCCACATTCCTTACCAACCCCACCGCAATCCCCAGATTTAAACCCGATCGAACATCTCTGGGCTCATTTAGGAAAATGTATTAAAAAACATAATATA